ACCAACAATGAAAAAATAGGAAGAAGAAGGAAAAACTCGTTGAAGAATTCCGCGCCTTGCTCCTATTGTATTCTTGACTCCTTAGGTCGAATCTCCGGTCTCCTTAGCCTCCTTAGGTCTAAATTATGTCAAAAGTATGTGCAACCTCAAAAATACCATTTTTCCATGTATATATACCAAGTAGGGCCGGGCCCAAACAATTATACCTTCTCCTACGCGAAAAAGGACAATATTTCACGTCTGGACTGCCGCGGCCGCGGTATATACTGCCTCAGCCCCGCAGTCGCCGTTTCGACCGCATTTTTCACCCTGTTCCGTTTGGAATTTGGAAAAACGTAAAACATGAAAGTTGTAGCCCTTTGAGTTAGCTTTCCAACCATATATTGCGGAGCCCAAATGGAGTTCTGAGCAAAAAGTTATATCTATTTTACTAGACAGTGCGCAATATGCCTCCTCGAGTCTTCGTTCGTACTTAATTATCAAATTTGACCCCCGAACCCGATCCCGGCTTAATTCCTTGAGCTCTTACTTAGACTTCAAAGCTCCAAATCACTTAATTTCATTCTATAACATCTATATAGCTCGAAATCGCTCCTACAAGGCATAAAACACACCGTTAGTGCAAAACACTAGCGATTAAAGCGCAAACTCAACTAAAGTGCAGTAAATTAGAGTGTAATAATAGACTAAAATACGTAATTATAGCCTATCATCAGTACTCCTTTAATAAATATATATATTTTGTTCCATATTTGCATAAATTGATATAAATAAATAAAAAATGGGAAAGAATGTGGCCCATATAATCAAACATTCAAGTCTTAAAGATATTATTTTCCTTATTCATATACAAATAGCTATGAACTTCTCTGGTGGAGAATAAGTGTCATTTCAGCTTAATTAATTTAGCAAAAACAAACGTTCATTTGAAAAGGCAAGAACGAATTTATTATATTTTTTTCAAATCTACTTAATCCAATAAATAATCTATAAATATGAGAATATACAAAGAGTAATTCTAAAAGATACAACAAAAATTTATTAAATAACTCTTATATTATTGATACGAAATGATTTTTTTAATGAGTGTGCAAAAATTTAAATGACACTGACCCGATTTAGATGGTAGAGTACATGCTTACTTCTATTTTAATTAACTTGACATTGTAAGTAAAAATCATGACGTTATAAGTAAGAATTTATGTTGTTAACACATATAAGTTAAGCTGGACATTTACTCATGCTAATTAATGCAACATTACTAGGAAGAAAGCTCCATTTCAATTTTATGAGAATATATAAATATGGTTTGAGAAGATATAACGGAAAATAAGTTAACTCACTCTTATATTATTGATACTAAATGATTTTCTTAATGGGGGTGTAAAATTTTTAAGTGAGACTATTTTAGATCGTAGGTAGCGTTACCTGAGAACTTATTCATGACTATTTTAATTAACTTGACATTGTAAGTAAAAATCGTAACGTTCTAAATACGAATTTATATTGTTAACATGAATAAGTTAAGTTGAGCATTTACTCATGCTAATTAATGGAACATTATCATATAATGAAGAAAACTCCATTCCAATTTTAATTTTTCAGGTAAATTGGGCCTAACAAAATTAAAATTAACTTTACAATTATTTGGACATGAATTCTAATCGAGACTTTTTCGTTCCTATACCATATATGAAACCTTATTACAAAAAATGTGCATAATTTCATATTTACCTGCCATATTCCCAGTTATTCTACAAAATATATACCATTCATTAAATACCAATTATTAGGAGCTGATTCCTTCCTAATTAGGCGCGCTACAAATCTGCAACTAAATATTCTTCCAGATATTCCTATTTAGGCGCGCTACAATTATGGAAGTAAATATTCTTCCAGATATTTTCCACCATTGACAGCCATTAAAAAGCTTGAAAGCTTTGAATTCAAATTTGGGTTTTTAAAAATCATTATTTGTTTGGATTGGGTGTTGTTGAAAATAATCGGGAATATGATTTGGAGTTTATATTTCAATTTTGAGGGGTTTTGGTGAAGATTAGACTTGGTTTTGACTGAATTTCAGATTGAAACTCGAAGAAGAAGAAGAAGAAGAAGACATATTGCAGAAATTGTAGATTATTTGTATTCTGATTGTAGATGCTTTATTTTCTGTTTTTACAAATAAAAAATGGCTAAAACTTCTATAAATCTTCTGAAAAAACGCAATTATGTCAAAAATCCCAATTATGCTACAATTGAATGGGAATTGGGATATAAAAAATCAATGTACCCAGTTTGTAGATATTTTGTAGATAAATTGTAGATTATTTGTATTCTAATCGTAGATGCTTTGTTTTCTGTTTTCACAAATCAAAAACAACTAAAACTTCTACAAATCTTCTGCAAAAAATGCAATTATGTTGAAAATCCTAATTAAACTACAATTGAATGGGAATTGGGATATTAAAATTCAATATACCCAGTTTGTAGATATTTTGTAGATGAATTGTAGATTATTTGTATTCTGATTGTAGATGTATTATTTTCTGTTTTCACAAATCCAAAACGACTAAAACTTCTACAAAATCTTCTGCAAAAAACGCAATTATGTCGACAATACCAATTAAGCTACATAAACGTGTTTTGGGGGAAATCACTGTTATTTAAGTGTTTTGGGTGATTTCTTTTGCAGATTACGACTATTGACGAGGCTAAGGGATTCTATCTTTTGTTTGGACTTGGTGCAAATGTTGCTCTGATTCTCTCAAGTCGCACAGTGAAGTACTTTTCTAGCCTGAGAAGCTCTTTGGGTCCTGGAGTTGATGGTTGGGCCATCTCTCTTAAAGCGTTGATGAGTATTGTAGTGTTGATGGGTGGGGCAATCTGTTTCTTTTACTGGTGGGTGAATAGAAATATTACTGGATGGTAGAAGAAACTTATTATTCTTTACTTGACTAGTAGAAAGCACTCTCTTTCATCAATTTGTTTTTGAGAAGCAGATGCACCACCTTTTGTCCCTCGTCTATCACGTCTACTAAAATGATGATTCATTGCTGGGTGAGGGTGAGGGTTTGGGAGAGAGAAACGTGGGAGGGATGGGATATACGGGAATTAAGAAGGGATATACGCTGCATTAATTGTACCCTTAAAATACACTATGGTATAGAATTGGTAATTTGGTATACTAAGTGTAATTAAGTCAAACCTTAAACATTGAGGGGTCGTTTGGTTGCCGGTTAGAGTTATGCAGGTATTAGTTATGCAGGTATTAGTAATGCAGGGATTAGTTATGCAGGTATTAGTTATGCATGAATTAGTTATGCAGAGATTATTTTTTTGAATGTTTGGTTTGTTGTATTAGAAATTGATATACATTATATAAAATTTAAAGTAAAATGCTTGTTTACAACTATACCCCTGGCCTTCTTTTGCATTGTTTTTTCTCTCTTTCTATTTATTTAAGCAAATTAATAAAAGATATATTCAACAAAAAAAAATCCTCAATAAAACTCCAGATTACCAATACAACTTAATACTCCAGATTACTTTGATCTGTTTCTCCTATCCTCAATAAAAAAAATCGTTCTTTTGTGTACAGATCGATATATCTAAGGAAGCCTTATGTGTAAAGTGATAAGGGTAAATTTGTCATTTCAATATTTTATCCATGTATTACTAATACATGTATTAGTTATTCCATCTTCTACCCTGCATAAAATAATACACATATTGAGTCATAACTTATACATGTATTATTTATGCATAATTGAAAATTATCAACCAAACATGGTATTAGTTATGCAGAATTTTATACAACATAACTAATGTCTACCAAACATGGTATAAGTTATGTTACCCCTTATACATGAATAACCTTTCTCTAACCAGCTACCAAACGACCCCTGAGGGTAATAAGGTTTCCTATGTGGCATAGGAATGTAAAAATTCCATTCTAATATGAGTTCTTTCATAGCAAAAAAGAAAAAGATAAAAAAAAGACAAAAAATGGCATGGTATGACAATGCGTAAGAGAATTGACAAATTTTTAGCCTTACATTAGGTTTGACAATATTTGGCTACAAAAATTGACACCCAATAACCAAAATCATTTTTCTTAATTATAGCAAAAAGTATTTTAGAATCCTCTGCCTCTCTTCTCTGTTCTAGCGGTGGCAACTTGCAACCATGTTCCTAGAAATTAGGGTTCGTTTCCATTTATTTTTTTGTTTAAGTAGCTTAGCATACACATTCTCTTCTGTTTATATATATATATATATATATATATATATATATATATATATATATATATATATATATAAAACTGGTTTAGAGCAAGTTCTAAAATATAAAAATAACAAATATAATTATGAGAGTAAATAATTTTTTTTATACGAACAAAGAAAAGAAACTTTTGATACGTTTTAATAAAAATAATAATTATAATCGTGAGAGAAGAATTTTTTGATATACAAAGGAGAAAATAATTTTTTGATATATACAAAGAAGAAAAATATGTGATACATTTTAGTATACGCATTATTTGATGTATTATACACTTGATATACAAATAATACAATTATGTTTGCTGTGATATATATATATATATATATATATATATATATTTTAAATAGCTATACCTATTCTATTTTGGATATACAAAGAAGGAAAGTAAAATTTTGATATACATAAAGATGCAAAATAAAGTTGTGAAATACATTTTGATATACACATGAATGTTGTGATATATGTTCATTGGTTAAATAGTATCAATATCTATAACTATAATTCTTTTCTACTAATTATATAGGTACATTATCATACCATGCCAAAAACCAAAAAAAGAAAAGAAAGAATCTCAGCATAATGTTATTGGGCTCGTGCGCAGCTCGAGCTATCACTTACTAGTATAGCGATAAGATCGAGTAAAGCAGCAGACAAAGACTTTGAAGAAGTATAAAGAACTTGTTGTTATACCATGAATTGATATGGCAAAACCATCCTTAAACACAACATTCAATAGGTTTATATCGTATTATACTAAGCTAAATAGGAAGAATTGTTTGGTCATACATATGATATGAGTAGCCTATATTAGAGCATCCAAGGTTTAAATTAAAGGACTAAAAGACATGGCATAAAATAAAAGTATGTACTAGTTAAGAAGCAGAAGTTTGCTTGGAAACACAAACAACAAGTATTATCAATTGTCATATACACGACACTCATCAGTCTCAGGATTTTCCTTGCAGTAACCTTCCAAAGGGTCAGAGTTCTGCTTCTGCTTGTCCCTTGCATGGCTAGCTGCTGCACTTGTCTCTTCCACTACATCCCAAGCCGCCGCGCATTCTCCGCTAGCCGGATTCTCTGAGCATGCTTCCTCGGCTCCCTTGACACTGTCAGCCACAAGGTCAGAAAGCTTATCTGGTCCTGCTGACACTGGCTTGAGGTACATCTTACTAGACCCAAATTGAGCTGATTTCTTCCATGGATTGTTTAGGCATGGAAACTTAAAGGGCTCAACTTTGGAAGAGTTGGATGCCTTTGCCAAGACTCTTGGAGTAGTGAGACTAATACCAGCAATTGTTGCCATTCTGAAGATCTTTTTTCTTTTTCCCTCTGTTTAGGATATGATGTTTAACGCATGATCAGAAGGTATATATAAGCAGAGCTTGGAACGACTATTGAGCGTTCATTTCTTATCATTTTTATAGCCACTGCTGGACATGCACGTCGAGACAGATATTGTGGTAAAATATCTTTATATTCTCTAGGATCTTTATGGTACAAAATACAAAATCTAAAGCATAAAGCTTGATATTATTTAGTTGCAGTTTAGATAATGCTCCAGTTTGGTCACGGCCGTTCACACAAATTCTTAAATTGAAGTTGGATAGTCCTTGTTAATCAGTTTTTCAAATTGGAGTGTGAAACTATTTTTTGGGTTAAACAGTTTGGTTCCGTTACCGGGAACTCAAGCAAATTTGCTATTCATCCAAAGATAATAATAATTTTTGTTAATATTCGCTTGTTTTCAGTTTAAACCTTCATCATGGCCGAAATTTGCCAATCAACACAGTTGAGGACAACCAAGTTGGAGATTGCTTTACCATGCAAAATAAAAAGGGAAGAATAGCCATGATAATGATATGTAAGCAACAAGCAAAGAAAAATAGAGAATGTACATCGATATATTGGTACCGCAACTATCAGTACCAGAACTGATTATAATGGATACGTACAAAACAGTTCCGGAACAGGAGGTTCAAATACACTAGGTTCGAAAACCAAACCGAGGTGATTCCGGATCCGATTGAAGGAGTCAGAAGAATAGCGCCGAACTTTCCCGGAACTGAGGAGTAAAATTTACATTCGATACAATACAAAGCTTCGAATAGAGGAAGACACGTTCATTCAATTGAAAGTCAAAAACAGGTTCGGATAAGCGGATGTGATTCTTGGGTGATCCGAATCTAAACGCAAAAATCTAAAAATAGGTCCGAGCAAAAGAGATACGAGATTTTCTTCACGGGCTGAAAAAGATCCGGATCTACCCGAACAGGTAAGGAATTACTTTGCTAAATTGTAAAATTTCATAGGAGAAGAATGAAGATTAGGAGCAACATGGGTAAAACACCCACGAGATTGCTTACAAAGATACCACACCTAACAACTGAAAAAAAAAGAGATAGCTGCGGGATGGAATAGACCACGAGGAAGGAAGGTTCATTAGTAACCTTGGACAATTATACAAATATTTTCGGAAGCAATCATTGAACCGAAGGCATCAGAAACCACGAGGTCAAATGCTGAAGAACTAAAAATTATCATCGACTTCCCAAATAGGAAGGATTATGTTGGTCGAGACTCGACACCGAATTTAAAGGTAAGTTGATTAAACTTTTACATTTTAACAAAAATTGCTTTGCTTGCCTCCATGCTAACATAACAGGTGTACTGCCGGAGGTAAAGGTTTATGTGCTAAATATTGACCCGTGGTATAATCCGGTCAAGCAAAAGAAGAAACTAGAGTCAAACAATAAAAGATAAAGTTACAGAACTTCGAAAGATCGGTTTAGTCCAAAAAGTCGAATCATTCGAACTTGCTATCTAACAACAACGCATCATTACTTTCAAAATTCCGAGGAGAAAGATGATTGCCGGTACACCAAATTGTCTCGAATGTCTCGGTAAATGCAATTTTAATTCAAGAAGATAAAGGTACACAATCTCCTATGTCACACCTCCTTTTTCACTACACCCCGGGAGGGGTATAATAAAGGGAGTTTTTCCAATTAAAGGACAATCGAAATGGGATTTATTATAAAAAGATTCAGAGTCGCCACTTGGGAGATTTATGGTGTCCCAAGTCACCGGTTCAAATCCCGAATCGAGGAAAAGATTGACTCTGTATTACAGTCCGCGAACCAGAAATCCGGGTAAGGAATTCTGTTAACTCGGGAGAAGGTGTTAGGCATTCCCGAGTTCCATGGTTCTAGCACGGTCGCTCAACTGTTATATTTAGCTTAATTATCTGATTTTAAAACAATTTAAACCTATGTGCAATTTTAACTTTTTAACCGCTTTTATTTAATTAATTAAAGGAGGATTGCAACGTCATTTAAAATATGTTTCGGACTACATCACATAAATGCACCCGTAACCCATAACACATTTTATCTAACGTTGAGATTTGGATTTGAGTCACATAAATGTGCACCCGAGTTTAGGAAAGTAGATTATTAAAATACGCGCCTAAAGCAACTACGCGTTTGCACTTTGCGAGGGCCATGGAATTTGCTAAATGGCACGCCTCGAATTTTAAGGATCAATACAAGATTAATTAATCGAGGGCTGTGCCATTGTCATTTGTTTGGCGCGACGCGACTCAATTCATTCTAATTAAAGGGGGGTATTCAAACTAAATTGATGAGGGCCGTAAATTATCTTACTTAGAACAGCTCACCTCAAGTTATTGTTAAGAGCACCAATTAATTGATTAAGGAGGAACTTAATGATTCTGATATTTGCACCAAGAGTTCGGACTTGCTTACAGTAAAAGGGGTCTTGGTTGGTAAGTGTCGTTAACCAAAGAATTGGTCAAAAGAGTGAAAGGGGGGTCCAGTTTCTATTTGAGACATTTGGGCCCAAAGGTGAGCCCATACGAGCAATGCATGGTTCATACTGTTGCTTACACAAAAAAGTACGAATGCAAGAAATGGGCCAACGTTAGAGGCCCAAGTCCAATACTTCATCATTAGCAATTAAAATCAAGGGTTGTCCTCACTAAAGCTGAGTCGATTTTGGCTTAAATACTGGCAATCATGAGTGGATGTAGAATGATATTTCTCTTAAACAAGGCTAACATGCCATATGATGGATGAGAATAATTCGTGTAATTCAATCCTGAGTTTAAAGCCATGCAAACCACATGCATTCATTTTAAATTTATGCCTAACGAGAAATGCTTTCGAAATGGAAATGTAAGAGCATACTTACCCTCTAAATTCCAGATCAGTAACTTCAGCATAAAATGAAATGCAAGATATAACAATACTGAGAATCAGAACTATGCTAAAACTAAGCACTTGATGAATATGCCACAAGGTACTATAATCTATCACCTTCTGATTACCAAATTCCACAAAGGATCTGCCTAGCAAGCAACATATATGAAAATTCTGAGGCTCACTTTAGCCTCCTTAGTGCTCACAGATGCAGCAGACCATATTCAAGCACTTATAATGAAAGTTTCCTTATTACAAAACCAAACACTCAACTATAGAAATGACAATAAAATAGAGTGAATCCTTATAGAATACAAATTGGCTACAGTCTTCTAAAATAAACCTACCACCAACCAATGTGCCATTATGAGGCCATAAAGCTTAGACAAACTCTAATACGCAGAAATCAGAACATGAGACTAAAAGAAAACGAGGATTTCAAGGCAAATGATCAACAATCTCATATTCCATAGTCATGCTCCATGTTACACTCAAGTAATATCCATAAATGCCAAGATATACCTGGGATTAAAGGAACAGAGAAAACAATGAAGGGTCAACAGCAGGGACAGCAGAAATCAACACCAGCGATAGCACAACCCAGATTTATTGTAACGACCCGACCGGTCGTTTTGAGTTCTAGCGCTCCGTTCAGCAGTCGGAGGCCTTGAACAACTCCATTGCAGGTATTACGACTTGTACGCGTGGTCGGAATTTAGTTTCGGGAAGTTCGGAGTTGATTTGGGAAGAGAATTCTCATTTTGGAAGCTTAAAGTTGAAAGAATGATCTAGGATTGGAATTTTGAGTAAACGACCTCGGAATCGGGATCTGAAGGTTCCAGCAGGTTCGTATGATGATTTCGGACTTGGGCGTATGCTCGGTGCGAGTTTTGGATAACCCGGGAGCGTTTTGGCGTCTATTGTGGAAGTTAGCATTTTGGAAGAAATTTCTTAAGTTTGGCTTGAAGTGCATTTCGGTGTTATCAATGTCCGTTTGGAATTCCGAGACTGGGAGTAGCTCCGTATGGTGATTCTAGAGTTGGGAGCGCGATCGGAAGTGAATTCGGAGGTCCGTAGACCATTTTGGAGCCATTTGGCTAAAGATAGAAATTTGGAGGTTTTTGAAGAGTTTGACCGGGGGGTTGACTTTTTGATATCGGGGTCGGAATCAAATTCCGGAAGTTGGAGTAGGTCCGTAATGTCAAATATGATTTGCGTGCAAAATTTGAGGTCAATCGGGCGTGATTTGATAGGTTTAAACATCAGAAATAGAAGTTGGAAAGTTCAAAGTTCATAAAGCTTGGATCGGGGTGTAATTCATGGTTTTAGCGTTGTTTGATGTGGTTTGAGGCCTCGAGCAAGTCCGTGTTTTGGGATTGGTCGGCATGTTTGGTTGGTGTCCCGGGGGCCTCGGGTGAATTCCGGGTGGTTAACGGATCAAAAACTGATTTTGAAGAAGTGCTGAAGCACCTGGTATCTGGTATTTCCGCTTCTGCGGAAATGGGACCGCAGAAGCGACCCCGCAGAAGCGGAGAAGAGGGCGCAGAAGCGAAAAGGTGGGCATGAGGAGGAGCCGCATAAGCGGCGTATATTCCGCATAAGCGGAAAGGGGTTCGGGCCCAGGTGGGCGCAGAAGCGGCTATTGGACCGCTTAAGCGGAACTGCTGATGCGGTTTGTGTCCGCTGAA